CAATCTACTTCCGTAGTGATACTGCCTCGGAAACCCAAGGAGGGGTCGCTATGAGTCGGGGCTGACTCGACGGCACATAACAACAACAACAACAGCATATTGAATTGCTGGATTCATTGGGCCTCCCTGTGCTGTTAAAAAGCAATGGGAGGTGAGCAGCCTGAGGACGGGCGTGGACAGGGATGTGGGGTACAGCACCTGACCTGGGGCTGAGGAAGCAGGGGTCCGCAGCAGTGTTTGGGGTCTGCTCTGGGGCTGCGGCAGCTCTGACCCCACAGGTGGGCAGAGCGGCGCCAGCCTGCCACGCGCCTTCCTCAGTGCAGCGGCCACGCGCCCTGGCCGTGTGAGCCTGCTGGTGTCCGGGGCGGTGCTCCTGCTTTCCTGCCCCCGGAGGGTTTGACTCCACCCGCCCGTCTGGGACAGTCCCTGCTGCACTGTGAGCTGGGGACTGTGCCCTCGGTCGTGGCCTCCCAGGGTTTGTGAACTTGAGCGTTAAGTCGGTTAGGAGATTTATGGCCTGGACGAGTTCTGATTTAACTTGCCTGTGCCCAGCAAGTCCAGAAGGAGTCCTCCTTTATTACCCTGTGGCTGGCATAGACACTGACTGCTTGCCTTAGACATGACGCCTTATGTGCGGTTGGGTGTCTGTCCTGACTTAATTGTACGTAATAAAAATAAGGCCTAAGGCCTGCGGCTGTGGAGAGTGAAACCCTCTTCTGGCGTAACCGTTGTCCCTGACAGGCAATCGCGTGTCCCGTAAACCGGCCTTAGTCATTGGGCTCGGTGTGTTGGGCGTGTCGGTGCGGATCCTGCACTCAGCCAGCTTTGGCTGGTTACCGGCAGCAGAGTGGCCCATGTGTCCTGAGGTGGTTTTGGGGCACTGTCTTGTGCCATGGCCAGGTTTCAGGCTCTGAGCGGCCGAGGTGAGTTGGGGCTGTCACTCACGGACGTGTTTGCACCTCCAGTGTGAAGTGCCTGAAGGCGGGCTGGTCCCCAAGGCTCTGTACCGGACCGCCGAGGAGCTGGAGAGCGAAGACCTGAAGCTCTGGACGGAGACCATCTACCAGTCTGCGAGCGTCTTCAAAGGCGCCCCGCACGAGGTAGGCCTGCGTCGGCTGGCCCCGGGCGGAGAAGCGGTGCGTTCGGGATTCGTCTGGAAGAACCAGATGCTTTGCCTGGTTTTTGCTGTTTCCTTTTGCACGTTTAGTTTGGGGAAATGTATTTCCCGCGCAGAGAACAGACGTGCTTGGTCAGCGTGCTTTGTGGGCAGAAAGGGTCTCACCTCCCGCCCTGGTGCCGCTGAGAGGAGAAGTGGGACTCAGGTCTCTGCCGTGGGAGCTCCCACCCCTGCACTCACTGTCCTCCGTGGTTACACAGAGCCGGCTGTCTTTGCTATGTCTTCTTGACTTGTTCTTGGTTTTTTATATTTAAGGGCGTTGCCCCTTCGCCCAAGTCGCGTGGCGTGAGGAGAAGCACACTCAGGCCCGGCCTCCCTCCTGCCTGTCGTGTGCGTGTCCGTGTTCTCCTACAAGCTGTGTGTCCACACCTCGTGAGTGACCCAGAGCAGGACTCACAGCCAGGCCACCGTCCCCTAGTTCTAGGCCAGAGCGTGTGGCTCGGTGTTGTTGACGGGGACAGTGGTACTCAGCACATGGGGCTGGCCTGGTCAAGGGTGGTGGCCGGGCACTCGGCCCTGTGGCCTCTCG